CCTAGAACCCCTGTTCAGACATAGCCCATGGCAGCTCAGCATCCAAGTAGGTTCCTTAGTAAGGGGAACAGGGACTGTCAATGACATGAATTCAGTGGCAGGCTCTTTGACCTCCTTCTTTTCCCCCCACCCCCACCTCGATGGAGGAGCAGCCTTGCCAGGCCACAGAGAATGACAGTACAGCCAGTCCTGATAAACTAGGGTTAGATGGAAGGGGAGGAGGACCTCCCCTATTAGTGGACTTAGAGGGGGGCAGGGAGGAGATGAGGGAAGGAGGATTGGAATGAGGGAGGAGGCTACAGCTGGGATACAAAGTAAATAACCTGTAATTAATATAAAAAATAAAAATAAAAAAATAAGTATTGATAAATCAGTTTGTGCCAGGCATGGTTGGTACATGCCTGTAATCCCAGCACACTGGGAAGCAGAGGCAGGCAGAACATTGGGAGTTCGAGGCCAGGGTGGTCTACAAAGTGAGTCCAGGACAGACAAGGCTACACAGAGAAACTCTGTCTCAAAAAATAAAACAAACAAAAAAAAATTAAGTCAGTTTGATAGTATGTCCATTTATTAAAATAATAGGCTCTCCCTCTGAGGCTTATGACTTATGCAGCCATGGGTTCTTCACCAGTTGATAGTGCCAGCCATGAGTACTGTCCTCTGCCTTCCCCTTGAGGCTCAGATATCATTATGGAAGTTCTTGTAAAACAGTGTTTTACCATGATAGGATTTTTGCACACAAGCATTCACAGCAGTTGTGGTCACTTGTACAAGCCCTGCTCCAAATGAAGCCAGTCAAAATCCCAGCATGGATCCTGGAAGGGATCATAGAGTCCTGCCCCAGGCAAAGGCCTGTTGGCAGTTGATGTCTTCTGGGTGGAGAGAGAGTTGGATTTCTTTAAGGATGTAGTTCCTGGTGTGTTGTCCATCCACTGGTCGCTGGCCCTATACTCATGTACATATGGGAAGTTGTGGTCAGGGTCTAGAAGGAATTAGAACAGGGTGTGGATATAAGCAAAATACACTGTATACATGTATGAAATTCTGAAAGAATAAACACACACATGCACACACAAACAAGAAGTTCAAAGTCACACACATTGGGCCCTCCTACATCAAATTACTCACTAAGAAAAATACCCTACAAGCTTGCTTACATCCCAATCTTATGGAGTTGTTTGTTTTTTTTTTTTTTTTAACTTCTGTCAAGTTGACATAAAACTATGCAGCACATTGTGATAAGTGGAAGCACTTGATAGCAAGGGCATGAAGAGAATGTCCTAGCATGTTCACATTATCTTTGTGGAAAAGACAAGAATATTCTTGGCTCTTCCACATGATCAAAGATAATACTTATAATACATAACACTAGGTATATTCCTTTCTTGTGCTTGTATTTGCTTAAGGTAGCTATAAACACTACCTCTTATATTACTTGCTTTAGTTTATGAGAAGTGCTCTGAGATGGCTGGAGGCAGTTTCACTGGCTGAGGTGGCTCAATAGTTGACAAAGAATTAAAAAGTCAGCATGGGAATAGACATAATCTGCAGAGTGAATAGACAGCCCACAGAATGAAAAAAAAAAAAAAAACTTTGTCAACTTTATTTTATGTGAGTTTAATAATTTGGATATATAGAGTATTGTAAAAATTAACATCACAAAATTAAGTCATCCAGTTAGTAAATGGCCTAATGAACTGAATAGACTACTTCTGAAGGAGGAACACAAATAGCCAGTAAATACTTGGAAAATTTTGAAAAATGTAATTTTGAACTGCTTTTGTATTCCATCTGACTCTAGCCAGAATGCTTGTTTTCAAGAGATCATGTGGCAACAAATAGTGGTGAGGGTATGGGAAGAAATCAGTTCTTATTCACCCTGGTAGGAATAGAGAATGGCACAGCCACTGTAGGGTCCCGTAGAGGTTCTTTTTTTTTTTTAATTTAATTTAATTTTTTTAATTATTAGTTAAATTTTATTAACTCTGTATCCCAGCTGTATCCCGCTCCCTTATTCCCTCCCAATCCCACCCTCCCTCCCTCAGCTTCTCCCTGCCCCTTTCCAAGTCCACTGATTGGGGAGGACCTCCTCCCCTTTCATCTGACCATGTTTTATCAGGTATCTTCAGGACTGGCTTGCAGAGTCCTCCTCTGTGGCCTAGCGGACTGCTCCTCCCTTGGGGGGTGGGGAGGTCAAAGAGCCTGCCATTGAGTTCCTGTCAGAAATATTCCCTGTTTCCCTTACTATGGGAAACCAATTGGTTACTGAGCTACCACGGGCTTCATCTGAGCAAAGGTTCTAAGTTATATCCATACATGGTCCTTGGTTGAGTGTCAGTCTCAGAAAAGACCCCTGTACCCAGATATATTTGGTCCTTGTGGAGCTCCTATCCTTTCCACGTCATACTAAATCCCCTTCTGCTGAAGGTTTGGTTATGAGTCTTAGTATCTGTTTTGAAACACTGCTAGGTAGAGTCTTTCAGATGCCTTCTGCGGTAGATTCCTGTCATTCGTCCAATGCACATTCCATTTGTCCTTCTAAGTGAGGATTGATCATCTTCGCCTGTGTCTGCTTTCTTGTTTATCTTCTTTAGGTGTATAGATTTCACCATGCTTATCATATCTTGTAGGTCTATATAAGTGAGTATATACCATGTTTGTCTTTCTCCTTTTTGGATACTTCACTCAGAATGATCTTTTCTAGATCCCACCATTTGCCTGCAAATTTCATGATTTCCTTGTTTTTGACTGCTGAGTAGTATTCCATTGTGTAAAAATACCACAATTTCTGTATCCATTCCTCCGTTGATGAACATCTGGGAGGTTCTTTTTTTTATTTTTATTTTTTATCTGGGAGGTTCTTTAAAGAACTGAAATCCATGTGATTCATCCATATCATTTTGGTATATACTTGAAGATCTCTTAAGTCAACATGCCACAGAGATACTTGTACATTCGTGTTTATTGTTGAACTATTCACAATAACCCAGACTTGTAACCAGCCTAGATTCTGTAAAAAGATGGATGATAAATATGTGATGTTATACACAATGGAATTTTATGCAGCCCCAACCATGACATACTCAGAAAAATGGATGGACTCTCTTATGTGTGGAATCTAAATTTAAAATTTTATCTTCCTCCCTCCCACCATCTGTCCCTCCCTCCCTCTCTCTCTCTCTCTCTCTCTCTCTGTGTGTGTGTGTGTGTGTGTGTGAGTGTGTGAGTGTGTGATGAAACTGGGAATAGGATCATGAGAAGGAAGAGATCTTAAATGAGGGCGGAATAATGGAATACATGTGATAAGAAAGCTTAAGGAGGGAAGGAAAGGAGCTAGATATAAGTATTCAGAAGACCTGGGGGAAAAATGTTAGGAAAGAGAACATGCGAGCAAAATGTGACACATGTATGGTGATGCCATAATGAAACTTTACTTTTATGCTAACCAAAGAGGAAAGAATCAATAGTAAAAGTGGTATTAATGGTAACTTACAGTAAGTATACTTTTCTTTGAGATGGACACTGTAGTGAGGAATGGTGGTTATTTTACATCATAGTTATCAGTTAAATTTGAACATTTAAATACACTTTTGATAGTTTATTTTTTATTGTAGTTGTTTATATTAATGCATATAGAATTATTGAATCAGTATTTTTAAATATATTGTTTCACTTTCAGCTGGTCAGTTCTTTTTTTAATTAAGATTTTATTTTTTTAATATTAGTTACAGTTTATTAACTTTGTATCCCAGCTGTATCCCACTCCCTCATTCCCTCTCAATCCCAGTCTCCCTTGCTCATCATCTCCCTACCCCTTTCCAAGTCCACTGATAGGGGAGGGAGGTCCTCCTCCCCTTCCATCTGACCCTAGGTTATCAGGTATCTTCAGGACTGGCTGCAGTGTCTTCCTCTGTGGCTTAGCAGGGCTGCTCCTCCCTCAGGCGGGGGTTGGGGGTGGTCAAAGAGCCAGCCATTGAGTTCATGTCAGAAATAGTCCCTGTTCCTCTTACCCACTTGGATAATGTCAGCTGGTCGGTTCTACAAATCAATACTAACATTGATGAGCTACCATTAGAATTCTACTGAATCAAACACATGGTCCCCAGCAATCTTTCCTTTGGTTCAGACACCAGCTACAGATGAGAGCCAGGCCACATCCATCTCAGACAGTTATTCCAACTATGTTAACAGGAAAAAAAAAAAATTTGCCTAACTTGGAGATTTAGGGCAGGAAAAGAATTACAATATGTAAATGTATAATTTCTAAGAAAACAATTTAAAAAGCCAAAAAATATATCTGTTAATTTTTGTGAAAAAGGTATTTTTCCTATTAAATGTCCTCTGAATAGTTTCTAGTGAGGAGTTTTAAATATGTAGTTTAGACATTAATACATAGACTTCCATTTGTTTATATACATATATTACATATATCAATATTATGTTGTAGATAACATCTTCCATTCTTGTTTTTGTGTGTATCTCTGTGTGTGTAGGCATGTGTAGTACATTCATATGTACTTACAGGTGTAGGTGCATATGTGTGTACATATGCTTGGATATATTTATATGTGTGTGTAGACCTAAAGTTGATCTTAGATGTCTTCCCAGAACCTTCTCCCCTGTATTTATTGGGGCAGGATCTCTAGCTGAAACAAGGGTTTCCAATTCCAGCTAGAGCAGCTAGCCATCTTGCTCTGGGGATCCTTTGTCTCTGCATACTGAATACTATAGGCAGCTACCACACTTGCATTCTAGGGATTTGAAGCTGCTCTTCAAGCTTAGGTGTCAAATACTTTTATACCAACCATCTCTCCAACCTCATGGTTTTGTTTTGTTTTGTTTTTTTACATAAGAAAAGTGTTTAATAATTTCTCCCAGTGGTTGAAATGAGACAACACTTTTACACATTTTTGTAAAAGAATTAGCATACTAAAATTTCTCTTCACTATTTCTTAGAACAGTTTATTCTTCATAATGTGACTTTCCTTTATGTTCTACAGGCAGAAGCAACAAATTAACCACCTACATGAAAGGATAAGGGATAATGAACTGCGGGCACAGCATGCCATGCTAGGACATTATGTAAATTGTGAAGACTCTTATATGAGTAGTTTACAGGTAAGACTTTGTCGTTGATTAATAAATCTGTACTTAGATTTATTTATATCATTAGGTTTATTTATCTTATTAGAACGCCTTAAATCAGTGTTTTGAAATGACAGTGAGTTTGCATAATTCATGCTTGCCTGAGAAAGGTGCCCAACTACTTTTTCCCTTTGTCCTTTCACATCCCTTTCCCACAGCATGCTGAGTAAGCTTCCATCCATATCATAAACATATCATAAACAGATAAAATCTTTTATTCTGTTTGAGTTCTCTACATTTATAAAAAATCCCTAAGAATATGCATTGTTTTGTTTCCTACATTTACATTTAGTTTCTATTTTATAGAAATCATAATTTATTCAACCATCTCTTACTCATGAAAATTAAGGTTGTTTGCTATTTGGGTATATTATAAATATATTTTTTATAGATATTTTTTTGCTCCTCACATCTTTGTAAATTAAAGCTCTGAGAAATGAAATTTCTGTTATATATATGCATATGTATATGTTTAAATGTATATTCTACATATGGCTTATTTTTCTTAACATGATGATCTCCATTTCATCCATTTTCTTGCAAATAACAGTTTCATTTTTCTTTAGAGATGATCGAAACTTCATCCTGTGTCATACATTTCCTTTATTCATCTATTGGCATCTAGGCTCCATATTTTGTCTGTTGCAAGTCGTGCAGCAGTAAGCATGGGTGGGAGTGTCTCTGGTATGCTTAGCTTCCTTCCTGCTAGGGATGGTCGTGCTGGATCATGTGTCAGCACTGTTTACTCTTTTGAAGATCCTCCAAACTGTTTTCATAGCAGCTGCACCTGTTTACATTCCTACCACTGTGCTTAATGGCTCCTTTTCCCTGGCTTTCCTGGCTTAAGAAAAAACAAAAAACAAAAAAACATACATTCTGATTAGAGGTAAAATTTTGTGGTAAGCATTTCTCCATGGCTAAGGTGTTGATCGTTTCTTTAAATATTTATTAACTATTGTATTTTTTTCTTTTGAAAATTGATCATTTATTGATTGGATATTTTGGTGGGATTTCTGTTGTTTGTTTTGACTTTTCATTTAGTTCCTTTTAGATCCTATGTGTTAATCCAATGTTGAATATATAGTTGCCAAAGACTTTCTCCCATTTTGTAGACTGTCTCTTCACTGTTGAAAATTTGATTTCATAGTTCCATATGTCAGTTCCTTCAGTTGCTTCCTGAGCTATGGGATATTTTTCCAGAAGCCCTTGCGTGTGTCTATATTTTTGGTATTTTTTTTTTAACATTTATTAATTATGTATGTGCATATGTGTATGTCCTTTTGAGTATGTGCCATTCTGAGGATGTGGTCAGAGGACAAGCTGTAGGAGCTGGTTATTTTTTTTTTTAATTTTTTAATTTTTTTTTTTTTCATTCAGGACTCAAAATCAGGTCTTAAGGTTTGGCAGTAAACACCCTTTCCTGCTGAGCTCTCTCACCAGCCCATCTTTATATGTTTGGTGGTGTTTTTCTTTAAGATTTTCATAGTTTCAGGTCTGACATTAAGGCTTTGAATGTATATTTTAACTTACTTATGTTTAAAGTGAGAGGTATGTACCTTTTGTCAGTTTTCTGTAAGTAAATATCTAGTTTTTTAGGACCATTTTGGTGAAGACTCTTTCCTCCAATATGTTTTTGTACCCTTGTCAAAAATTGGGTGGCTGTATCTGTGTGGTGTTATCTGTGGTACCAGCGTTTTATCTTTTATGCATTTCTTTGAGCCAATATCATGGTAAATTTGTTACTATGGATATGTAGTATAATTTAAGGTTAGCTGTTATGGCGTTATTGCTCTTTCTCCTTAGGATTACTTTTGCTATTCAGAATTTTTGTTGCTTTCATGTTTCTTTTCTCTTTCTTTCTTTCTTTCTTTCTTTCTTTCTTTCTTTCTTTCTTTCTTTTTCTTTCCTCCCTTCCTTCCTTCCTTCCTTCCTTCCTTCCTTCCTTCCTTCCTTCCTTCCTTCCTTTCTTTTTCTATGAAGAATTGTAGGATTTTTTTTTTAATAATAATTTATCCATTTCTGCAGTTTTAATTCTGTCAGTCTGTTACCATGGGATGGATGGTGGGGGGTTTCTATCAATGTGCTAATTTCTTTTGAAAGAAATTGTTCAATTTCTTTCTTCTGTGTTTGAAAGTTTTAATTGAAAGATGAAAGATGCTTTCATCTCCCTGTTTAAGTTTATTCCTAGGGATTTTTGTTTGGTTGGGCTTTATATTTCTGATTTCTTTTGTGGCACGTTCATTATTTAGCTGTAGGAAAACTACTTATTTAATCTTATTTTATGTGCATTAGTGTGATGGTGTCAGATCCCTTGGAATTGGGGTTACAGACAGCTATGAGCTGCCATGTGGGTGCTGGGAATTGAACCCAGGTCCTTTGGAAGAGCAGACAGTGCTCTTAACCATTGAGCCATCTAAGAACACTTGGTGCCCTTGCACAGGACCCAGGTTCAGTTCCAAGCACTCATTGGTGGCTCACAGCTGTCACTTCAGGCTCCTGTGGGCATTGTCTGCATGTGGTGCGCTGTAATACATGCAGACAAAGCAATCATACACACACAAAGATACCAGTGCTCGCTCTGATAGAATAGTTTCTGCTTGTAAATCCTGTGTCTTTTATTTCTTTTTCTTTTTTTTTACTATGAGGTTTTTCTAATTCTACTGAGTATTTTACAAATGAGTTTCATCTTTTATAGGTGATCCTGTTTAACATCCCCAGTATTAAACTCTTGAGGTTAAAAAAAAAGATAGTTCAGAATTCATAGTTCTTAAAATAGAACATGTGTATATATTCCTACCTAATATATGTTTTCTTTTTTGAAAAGTTTTTAATTGAAATGAATTGCATCAAGTGATTTCCCCTTTTCCCTCTATTCCTCCTAGCTGCCCTCTCACAAACTTTTCCATGTCCTCCACTTTAAATTTGATAGCCGCATAGAATGGCAAAATGGAATTTCTTCCCACTGCTTTGGGTATATTTGTTACATGAATACGTATGTATGTGTATGCACAAATATATATGAATAAAACCTGTCGAGTCTGTTTTTGTTGTGTGTATATGGTTTCAAGGCTTACCACTCTTCATTAGACAATCAATAGGGTGCTCATCCCTGCAAGAGGCTAATTATCCTTCTCCCAGCAGGCAGTAGTTGCCAGTAGTTTCTTGTCTATGGGTGTAACCCCATGAAAATTTTCTTCTTTGATATTAATAGGCCTATTGATACTGCTTTTGTTTGGGTGTTGTTTATACAGACTGTTCCATAGCCAATTTCCTGGTTTTCTGGCTCTTAGAATCTTCTGCCTCCTTCTGCAATGTTCCTTGAGCCATACATGCAGGAGCTGTGATGCCGATGTGCACAGTGGGGATGGGCTCCACATGACTGGATAAGGACTGTGACCTGAGAATAGAATTGTGAAGAAGCCTAGTTTGCCTGTCCAGTCCAGTGGGGATGCAGTCATAGGGTCATGTGGCCACTTCCTTCAATTATTTCTTTCCTTTTCATAGTTTTTTTTTTTCTTAAAACTCACCTACATATTTTTTCTATATACATTTTGTAATTGTGTATTTATTTCTAAAAGAAAATACTGTTAGTCTTTTTATTGGGATTAAAAAGTGAATAAGTTTTCCTAGAAATACATGCTTCTGTTTGTAGAATTATTTTTGTCACTCTTTTAAGGTTTTTATACATAGGTGTTAAAAACTCATTTGAAGTCATTTTTTTATTGTATCCTCAAATGTATTATTTCTAAAAATTAAAGTAATTGGACGTTGAAATCAGGAAACACTAAAAACCAAGCATATGTAAGACTTAAGAAAGTTAGGGGCATTTAACGTAGTGATCTAGCTTGCTCTTTTCTTTTTTTACTTTGATCCCACGTATATCATAATACTTCATTACTCTGTAGCTGTGTAGCCTACTTTGGCTTCAGTTATGAAACAGCAGGTCCCTATGGGGTAGTGCAATTTGTAAAAATAGTATTCTTGTGGTAAGTAACCAAGTGTAATTTGGTTTGAAAACACTATTTTTAGTAGAACCATTCAGTATTTCCGTATAACTTCATCCTGAATAAATGTTATTCTGGAATTTTATAATTGTTGTGTTATCAAAAGCATTTTTTCCCTTTTTTTTTTTTTTTTTTTTTTTCTGTTGTTGTTTTTAAGGTATCTAAACAGAGTGAGACCAGTAGATGGCTCTCTAAGTCAGTTTATCAGTGATTTCTTTTTGGGACTGTAAGACCTAGGGTCATTACTCTGGTTCACATGGTCTAGATTCTCTACTACTTTTCTTTCTTTTGTTCCTTTTTGAAAATTTTATAGTAAATATATATATATATATATATATATATATATATATATATATATATATATATATATATATATATATATATATTGTGTGTGTGTGTGTGTGTGTGTGTGTGTGTGTGTGTGTGTGGTCTGTTTAAGGGTTGGTTTAGGGCCTGATGGTTTCTGTCTTAGGGTGTTATTAGTTACTTATTTAATAAACTTCTTAAATAATACATTAAAGGGGTCCAGGTTTGTTTTTTTTTTTTTTTGGCATGTGGGTTTTGGTGTTCCATTTGAGTTTATAATAACATTTTCTGGGTGTAGAGGAGTTCTATGGGATTTGAAGTTATGGTCCTTCTTTTATTTCTGACATTAGCAATTTCATTTTCTTCTCCTAGCCTACCTTTTGGTTTTTATTGCTCTTGTAAAAATGCTCAATTTTTGCTTTGCTGAATTTTCTGCATGTATCTCTTATTTCTAATTTTATTGCTTTAGTTTTTGTTTTTATTTTGGATTTAATTTTCAATATTTCTAGCCTACTAGAATTAGAAATTTAGATGATTAATTTTTGATCTTTCTATTTTTATTCAGTGGTATAAATTTCCTCTAAGAATTACTTTACTTAGATCTAACAAATTTTCAGTACTATTTTAGCTGAGACTTTTTAAATTTCTCTTGAGTGTTCCTCCTTAGGCCATATATTATTTAGCAGTGTTTTATCTTGGAATGTCTCCTTTGTGTGTGTGTGTGTGTGTGTGTGTGTGTGTGTGTGTGTGTGTGTGTTTGATTTCTAGTTTAACTCAGACCACAAGTAAGTTACTTATATACCCCAGAACCACCTGCACATTAATGCCAATGCTCACAATGAGCTGAGCCCTCCGAGTCAATCATTATTCAAGACAATACCCAGGCTTGTGTACAGGCTAACTTTATGGCATCATTTTCTCAATTAAGATTCCCTCTTCCCAGATATGTCTAGGCTTGTATCATGTTGACAAAAGCATCAATTCACCTATTTGTGTATGTATGTATGTTCAGACATATAGGAATTTTTCCTATCTATCTATCTATCTATCTATCTATCTATCTATCTATCTATCTATCTTATTACAATTTATTCACTTTGTATCCCAGCTATAGTCCCCTCCCTCGGCCCCTCCCAATCCTGCCTTCCCATGCCCTTCCCCCAGTCAACTGATAGTGGAGGTCCCTAGCCTATCAGGTCTCATCAGGACTGGCTGCATTGTCTTCCTCTGGGGCCTGGTAAGGCTGCTTCCCTCTCAGAGGTAGATGATAAAAGAGCCAGCCACTGAGTTCATGTCAGAGATAGCAATGTTTCTCTTACTAAGGAACACACTTGGAGATTAAACTGCCATGGGTTATATCTGTGCAGAAGTTCTAGGTTATCTCCAGCAGAATGGCTAAGATCAAAAACTCAAGTGACAACACATGCTGGAGAGAATGTGGAGAAAGGGGAACCCTCCTCCATTGCTAGTGGGAATGTAAACTTGTACAACCACTTTGGAAATCAAGCTGCTGCTTTCTCAGAAAATAGGAATAATTCTATATCAAGATTTAGCTATACCACTCCAGGCATATATACAAAATATACTCAAGTATACAACAAGGATATTTGCTCAACCTTGTTTGTAGCAGCTTTATTCATAATAGCTAGAATCTGGAAACAACCCATATGTCCCTCAACTGAGGAATGGATACAAAAATTGTGGTACATTTGCACAATGGAATACTACTCAGCAATTAAAAACAAGGAAATCATGAAATTTGCAGGCAAATGGTAGGATCTAGAAAAGATCATCCTTAGTGATGTATCTCAGAAACAGAAAGACACACATGGTATATACTCAGTTATAAGTGGATATTAGACATATAATATAGGATAAACATACTAAAATCTGTACATGTGAAGAAGCTAATCAAGAAGGAGGTCCCTGGGTAAGATGATCAATCCTCATTCAGAAAGGCAAACTGGATAGATAGAAAACAGGAACAGGACAGGAGCCTACCACAGAGGGCCTCTGAAAGACTCTACCCAGCAGGGTATCAAAGCATATGCTGAGACTCATAGCCAAACTTTGGGCAGAGTGCAGGCAATCCCTTGAAAGAAGGGGGAGATAGAAAGACCTGGAAGGGACAGGAGTTCCAAACAACAGAACCAAAAAATCTGGGCACAGGGATCTTTTCTAAATTTACCTATTTTTAAAGAAATGTTTCAAAAGCCACTACTCCACCAAAGCTCATTTATTTTATCTTTTCCAATATTGCCTTCATTTCCATCTTCCCCTATACTTTGTACTTAATGTGACCTTTATTTGCCCACCTCATTATATTGTTTCTGTGCTATAGTTATCTAAGGTCTTCTCCTTTTAAATTTGAATTTATAAAGGCTAGTGCCAGAATCTGAAACATTGAACTATTCCTGCATGTGACAAATTGAAACGAATGCCTACCTTTTGACAAAGCACTAGTGCCTTAAGACCTTGTTCAGAGTCACTTCCATACCACCTTTCTCTACTGCATCTGCTACCATCTTAGCATTTTAGTTTTAATTGTGTGTTTTGGACCTTAGAGTAACCTTTTTAAAATTAGCTTTACAATTTTGACCAATAGGGGTATACTTTGTAAATTTATCTTGAATAAATAGCAGCAGAAATTCTCTGTTAATATAATACTTGCAGTGTGATTTATCTAAAGAAATGTATGTATTTTTCTGTCCATCCCTTCCAGATTTTAACCCAAGGAGGATTGTTTTTTTCCTATAGAAGAACTTTCAGCAAACCTTTCTAATTATTTTTGAGCACTTGTATGGTGCCGGGCATGATTTTAGACAGTCTATTAATTATTATTGAATTTAAATAGTTGAAATGATTACTTATGAAGAAAATTTTCATGCTTTTTTTTTTTTTTTTTTTTTTTTCTGAGACAGGGTCTTAACTGTGTAACTTATTCTGGACTTGCTCTCCCAACCCTCTTTTCTTATTTTCCAATGCTAGAATTATAGGAATTTACCATCACACACCACTTTTTGTTTGTATGTTACAGTTAATTTAAAGGTGTCAGGCTAATAATATTAGCCTATAATTATTATGGCAGTATTATCTAATTCATTATAACCAATAAAAGACTCAGACACCTGATGGATATTAGAACAGCCTTATATCACCTGGGGCAGGGCAAATATTAACCCTCTAATTTATCTTTACCTTCCAGCCTCATCCCAGGCTACATCCCAGCCATAATTCCATAAATGCTTGCTTGTTCTTCATCTGGGCCAATTCCTCCATCCATGCCGGCCATGTGCTTCTCCCATGCTAACCCATGGCTGTGTACTTCCTGAACTGTTTTTCCCTAAGATCCTCTCCTCTCCTCAAAGCCCAGGAACCTTAGCCACGCCTACCCCATTTGCCCTGATCAGGTGTGTCAGCTTTTTTTTGTTTTGTTTTGTTTTGTGGTTTTGTTTGTTTGTTTGTTTTTAGGCAAGGTTACATACATCTTTTTGGGGTATGTGAGTAGACGTCTGCTCATAAAAGACAGCAAGCAAACCTTGGGGAGGAAATTAATTAACAATCAAACACAAAGCACCAGACCATGCTGTTACATTCGTGTTTAATTACTTCCTTAAAAGTTTTACTTGTATAGGATGAAAGTATGTAATGCATTATTTGCATTTTTAAGTATACTTTTAAACCAACTACTAGCTGCTGCTCATTGAATTTTTGCTGTGTGCCAGATTACATACGTTTATTGTTCAGTAAACAGTGCAAAATGGCTTTATTATTTCTCCTTTATAGATGAGTAAACCAAGACTTAGTGATTCTGACTTACTCTAATCATAGTCTGTATCTAGGAAGCAGAAGAGCTAGCCAGGATTTAATGTTTCTAAAGCTCATAGGTATTTATTGCACTGTAACCCCTTCCCATTTTGTTTTTTGTTCAAGACAAGTAAGCTTCTGAAGACTTTAACTCCTGTTGTTTTTTTCCCCAATAGCCACAATATGAGAGCAGTTCAGTCCAGACTCCATTTTCAGAGCAGTCATTGTCCCATCCCCAACAAGAAGAACTTGAACAGAAGCTAGCATCTACTGAGAAAGAAGTTTTACAGCTCAATGAGTTTCTCAAGCAAAGAATAAACCAATTTAGTGAAGAGAAGAAGAAATTGGAGGAAAAGGTAGGTCTTTTTTATAAATTTGGGGTGGATCAACTGCTTTCTTCAGAAAGAATGCTTGTTTATCATTTTTCCTGTTACAGATGTTCTGTTAGGTCATACATTTTTATATTATAGCAATTAGTTCTATATGCACCAACTTTCAAGAAATTTGTGCTGTTGGCACAGATCTAAGTCTCTGTTGTGCCTTTCTAACTAGCATTGAAACTTTGTAAAGCCAAATGCCTATACCAGTGACTCTTTCTTATTTTAATTCCTTGTTTCTTGATCTTATTAACAATTAAGTATGAAGTAAAAAATGAAGTGAAGCTTATCTTTTCAGAAGGATGTTGCCTCAAGTTATTAAGTTGAAGCCGTTATTCTGAATATGTAGATTTTATGTCATATACTGTTTTATATATCTATAAAAGATCTGTGATCCACAAATGAGAAAATATTCAGTATTTGTCTTTATGCATCTGGCTTATTTTACTTAATGGGATGATCTCCATTTGCATCTATTTTTGTTCTCATGACCCCATTCATTATGGCTGAATTAAACTTTATTACACACACACATACACACACAAATGCACACGTGTGCAAGAGAAAGATAGAGAGAGAGAGACGTGTGTGATATGTATGTATTAAAACACATTGTCTCCATCCATTCATCTGCTGATAGACACCTAAGATGATTCTGTAGGTCGTCTGTTGTGAATAATGCTGTAATAAACGTGAACTCGCAGGTGTCTCTGTGGTGAGTTGACTTAGAGTCCTTCAGGTGTATGCCTAGGAGCAACATAGGGCGGGTTGTATTAAAATTTCATTTTTAGTTTTATGAATAACTGCTGTACTGATTTCATAATGTCTGGGCTAATTTACATTGCCATCTTTTTTCCCATATCCTCATCATCGTTTCTCCATTTGTTTTCTGAGCAGGGTTAGATCTACTCTCAGTGCAGTTTTAATTTGCATTTCCCTTATGTGTTAAGTGTACTGAACCTTTTATTTTCATATATTTATTATCCAAATGGATAATACTTCATCTTTCTACTTCGTCTTTTGAAAATAGTCCACTCATTTCATTAGCGTGTTTATTGACTGGGTTGTTTTTTAATTGGTCTTATTTGCGAACATTTTGTGAATGGAAGATGTGCAGTTTAAAGTCAGTAGAGTCAAATGAGAATATGAAATCTGAAGTTAACACTGTGCAGACCTGGGGCTTCCTGGGCCTGTTTTACTCTTGTGCCACAGCAGTGTTAACATTGTATAGTATCAGAACCCCAGAGTGACCTCCAGAAAGAAAATGTTGTACAAACTCATTTATGATATATGGTAAAAATATCCTTGCTTAAAGTATGTAAGTTGGTTCACTATGCCCTTATCTGTTCCTAAATATTTGGAAAGTTGTTCTGGCTTTGCAAGTTTTAGTAACAGCATCTTCTTTTCTCAGTTCATAAAAAGTATTTTGATATAGTTTTGAAAAATTAGAAATTAGGATCTGTCCTTTAGAGATGAATATTTGCTTTGAGGATTAAAAAAATATTTGTAGCTTTGTTTCTATGCCTTTTGGGTACCTAATAACCTTTTAAGATACAGATTTGTTTGTTTTTTTTTTTTTTTTAAGATACAGATTTGTAATTATATATTTTAACATAATTTAAACTCAGGGCAGTTTCAAAATGAACATAATATTATTTAAGTAATAAAGATATAAATACCCTCACCCTAATCTGTATATATATAAGTAATAGAAATTATATCATTACTGCCACCTGGCTTGGTATACTTTTTAAAATGACATAATTTATAAAAGCAAACAAATATCCTCCATATTCTTTATTTCAGATACATAAAAGTTTTGAGGAGAAGAAAAATAATCTTAGAATGGAGTAAGGCAGATCTTAATTCAGTTGATGATCTTTACTGTAACCTGAGACTCATTGATAAATTCAGTGATACCCAAGAATGAAACATTAATTTTGTAATTTTTAGTAACTCAAAACTGAGGATTCATGTTTTCCTTTAGCTGAAAACCAGAGATAGATACATCAGCAGCCTGAAAAAGAAATGCCAGAAGGAATCTGAGCAAAACAAAGAAAAGCAAAGAAGAATTGAGACCTTGGAAAAGTACCTGGCAGATCTTCCAACTCTAGATGATGTACAGAGTCAGAGCCTCCAGGTAAAGTCGTCAGGCGTGCGGCTCTGCAATGCTTGCAGCATGTGTTAGGGTTAGCTACCTGGAAATCGCATACTCAATTGCTGTTCCTAAGATATTCTAAAGCTGTTCATGTAAGAGTAAAGAGAACTCTCTTTTGTTCAGTATGTGATTACCTTTGTAGTAATCCTACATGGTAACTTAGTGTTCTGTTTTTAAACTTATTTTTTATTTATTGTATGCATGTGTGATGTGTGTATAGAAGTCAGAGGACAACTTTGTGGCTCTGTTCTACCTTTGTGTTGGTTCCAGGCATCAGACTTAGTCATCAGGCCTGTCCTGCAAAACACCTTTATTGCCTCTGCCTTCTCTTTGGCCACTAATATTCTATTCTGAAAAGGTAGTAGTTTCTAAACCTAGATGTTAACTCTTTCTCTTATATTCACATTCACTCTAGTTTTCTGGGACTCAAGGCTTTTCAAGACTTGTCGAGTATTATTATAGATGTTTATTTTCGTCACTGTTCTGAATTGTGCTGTAATTTTTTTATATACTTTGATCTATAGTCCCTGTTCACTCCTCTGACTTATATTTTTCTTTCTTAATACCTCATTCAAGGTCTTTTTTTTTTTTTTTTTACCAGTTTTGGTGAAGACTTCTTGAAACATGAATCCACTCCAGTTTTCTCAGTCCTTCCAAGCCATGTGTTTTCAACCTTGGCATAAAAGCATTTGGGGAACAGAAGCTGTTCTGTGTGTTGTGCCTTGTGCACTTCATGATATGTGGTTCTTATAATCAGTGCCTCTGGCCTCAGCCTCCTAGATGATAATAGTGCAGCTTCTCTCCCAAAGCAAATGACAGGCCATTTGTCAATTTCTTCTGGAGGTAAAAATCATCTTCAGTTGAGAATTATTTATATAAGTTTAGGATGTATATAGACAGAGAGTCTTTATTTTATTATAATTTATAATTTTTAAAACTAAGAGAGATTATATAAAAGAAGGCCATAGGAGATTGTGTGAACAGAAAGAGGCAGCAGTAAAGAATTAAAACACAAGAGATCATAGCACCTAATACCCATTAGGATACCCACTCCCAAGAGTCATGGTGTTCCTGGACCCTGCTTATAACAGTGTTATTTACAATAGTCAAAATTTGGAACCAATAAGGTGCCCACAAATGGATGAATAGATACACAATGATAGTACATACATAGAATCTACTATTATTGGGTCTTAAAAATGAAGGAAATTCTGACACATGCATGAATAAACCTGGAGAATATTTTATAATAAAATAAGTATAGTAAAATAAGCCAGCCATCAATAGGTAACATTGTTTGGTTATATTGGATAAGATTCAAATATAGTGAAACTGCAGAGGCACAGAAGGTAGTGGGGTAGGTTACCATGCAGTGGGATGAACAGTGCCTGGAAAGAAATTTAGTTGGTATAGGTATATTTGATATGTTCCGGAACTGTCAAAATAATAATCTGGATATACCTAATACTGAAGAGTAAGACATCAAGCCATGGGATGTTATGATATTAAATTTTATTTTTTATGTCTTACCATACTTAAAAATAAAGTTTATAAGTTTTATGAACCTTCGTATCTTATAGAAAATGCTTCCAGTCTTCTTCCTCATAATACCATTCTCCCAATTCTTTCACATAAAGGAAGAAATAGTGTGAAGTTCTTTAGATAAAATATAGAATGATTATAAGTGATTAGTCTGTTTAACCTTGAGAATATTAGTAATTTAATGATAGTATATTTAATATTGCACGCATCACAAACTGTAAACATGTTTCCTTAGCTGCAAGTTCTTGAAGAAAAAAACAAGAATTTGCAAGAGACTTTGATAGACACAGAGAAGAAGCTTGAGGAGATTAAGAAACAATGTCAAGATAAAGAAACACAGCTACTGTGCCAGAAGAAGAAGGAAAAGGAGCTGGTGACTTCTGTTCAGAGGTAAGGAGACCTGCCATGTCTTCACACTCTTTAAGTCAATATCGTTGTCAGGTTTGTTCTGCTTAAACGATGCTGTCATTATTACCTTAGTGTTTGCCTTGAAAAACGTGCTATATGATTTGGTTTAATTGTAATCTGATATTTGAAGCACTATACTAGCATCTTGCCAAAAATTTTAGGTGAAAATAGCAAAAGAACAAATAAACAAGGTCAACACAACAACTGAAGGCTAAGAATGCCATCTCAAACCCTTTAGTTGAAGGTTTTATCAAGACAAGTGAAAATTCTAAACAGTAAAAAATAACCTACAAAATGCACTACATTCCTTCGTAGAGAGCTCATCAAAGGGAATTGATGGGCTCTGATTTCACCTCACTGTGAATGACTGAGTGCGATGTGCTTTCCAGATCCACTCACACATCTTTTTCCTCATTTTACACTTTAAATACAAATTGTTAGTTATACAGTGAGTAGCATTTGTTGGTCTACTCAATTCGTGCTTAAACTTGGAAATTATTATAACCCTAGAAAACTGTTACATGCATAGGTTTATATTCTTTTTTTTTTTTTACAACCTTTAAACCTGATTGCTATCAATCATGAATAGATTTGACTATCCTGAACAGTCAAATCACAAAAATCAAAAAGATGAGTGTAAGAAATCCATTAGGTATATTAGGTAGGAGCTTGGTATGTTATGGTATTACTGCTTTACTCTTATTTTTTAGTCTGAAGTATCCTTTGTTTACTATTTTCTCTTAGATTTCAGTAAACTCTGATTTCTGTTCTTGATGTCAAGTTTTCAAAACTGTCATAGTTTTGAATTTACATTTTTATTCTAATATTTTTTCTTTCTTGCACTTTAATTTTTTATGAATTCATAATGTATACCAACTTCTTGGTCTTTAAAAAACTTCCTGATTGTTACTAATTCAAACATTTTATCTTTGTTGATAAAAGTAAAAATCGTGCATGAGTTCTGTTTGTAGTCCACTATGACCAAGGAAATGCAAAACTGTGGAGCATGGAACCATCATAGCAATTCTGGAAGATAACTTTATGCCATTGTGTCCCACTGTTTGCTTTTGCAGATTTGTGTCATTTTCTGTGTTCTCTTTTGTTAGGTTTTTGTACGACAGTGAGCTACATATGCTTGATTTATGAAGATTAGTATAATGTCTTCAAGAAAACATTTTGCATTTTAAATTTTATCTTGAGGCTAACAGATATCTTCAAAAATTCCTTTTGCTTTTAAAGTTTAATTTTAACTCTTCAGTATTTATATTAAGTGGCATCACTTAACATTGAGGGATAGGAATGGTATCTAAGATTCCTTGACTCTAGGATATTTCTTATATTTCGAAAGACGTTCAGATGTATATATGACTGTAAATTATGTCATTACATTTTATATAATGTTTCTAATCCTTCTTTTTAGTTAAGAAATTCATAAATAACAAGGCTTTTCAATAGAAATGAAAGTTTAAGGAGTTCTGCTGTTCAAGGGCTTTCTTACTTTTGGAAATGACCTTGCTTCATAATCCAAACATAAATCCATGAAAGGAAATTCAGTGATGTGTAGCAACACAGCACAGTTTCTTACTATTATTGGCTCTTTTTTTGAACTTTAAAGATTTTATTTGTGCATTTGGGTGCATGAATGTGTGACAGCCAGGGGTGAACTTCTGGTATCATTCCTCTGGCGATATCCACCTTGGTGTTTGAGACAGAATCTCTCAGTGGTCAGAGGCTTGCCAAGTAAGTTACGTTAGCTGTCCAGGGAGCTCAAGGGAGCTGCCTGTTTCCACCTCCCTGGTGCTGGTGTACAAGCATGTGCTGCCATGCTTGCTTTATTAACGTGGGTTAGGGACATAGAACTCATGTCCTTGGGCTTACAGACAGAGTTATCTCCCCAAACCAAAAGATTTCAATGTTTTATTTTTTTCTTCACAATTTATTTATTATATATTCCAATTGAAGCCCTCGCCTTTAACTACCCCGGTCATACCCTTCTTCCCTCTTCTCCTCATCCCCTTCCCCTAGTCCACTGAAAAGGAGTTCTCTACTATTGCCATTTGCACATAGCTTGTTAAGTTTTATCAGGACTGCTTGGATCTTCCTTTGTAGTCTGGCAAGGCTGCATCATCAGGGGCAGTCAACTGAGTTCATGATCGAGGCAGCTCCTGATCCCCTCACTTAGAGGTCCACATGGAGACTGAGCTGCCAATCGGCCACATCTGAGCATCCATCTTCAGACCTAAAGAAGTTAAACACTAAGGAGGATCCTAGGGAAGATAATTAAATCTCATTCATAATGTTAAACAGGATAGATACCAGAAGTGGTAGAAGAGAAGAAACAGGATGGGAGTCTACTATAGAGGGTCCTCTGAAAGGATCCACCCAACAGGGCATTGAAGCAGATGCTGAGACTCAGGGCTGAACTTTGGGCAGAGTGCAAGGAAGGAGTCTTGTGGAGGAAAGAGAGGGGTGGGTCCTAGATGGACATGGAGGGGACAGGAGCCCCACAAGGAGACCATCAAAACTAAAAGATCTGAGCCCAGGGGGTCCTGCAGAGACTGATGCTCCAACGGAGGATCATGCATGGAGAGGACCTAGACCCTCTGCTCAGGTGTGGCCAATTGGCGCTCAGTCTCCAAAAGATTTTAATTTTAGAGTGCATTTTATACTCAGTGTTTAAGTACATAGAAAAATACTGTTTTACACCAAATATAATTGTACTTGTAAGTAAATATTTTTTTTTTACAATTAACAATGTATTGCAAAGCAATACACAATATCAATACTACATTAATGATCATTGGTGCAACATCCACAGCTCATATTCTGCAACTGGTGCTATCAGCTCTTTTTCTACAACCTACGTATTGTGTTCTTTCTCTTTATTGAAGAAAAGGGAGCTTCAGATTTCTGTAATACTTTGAAAAAGAAAAGAAAAACCAAAATCAGGGTAATAAGAACATTTTCCTTTAGTTATCTGCCACTTGTTTGTTTCAAGACAGTCATGCCATATGTAGGCTGGCCTGGTACTCACTATTTTTAGCGTGGGCTGGCCTGGAACTCACAGCAGTCCTTTTATCTGAGTACTAGGTTTCCAGTTATGTACACTGTGCCTGGAAGATGTTGCAGCTTTTGACACTAATTCTCTTTCCCCCAGGTATTATTGTTTTGGTTTTGGTTATAATTGTTTGACACAGCTTTGCTTTTACCTAAATAGTACTAATCTTCCATTCTGATGACTAACATCTTCCTTCCCTTTACCTTTTTTTTTTAATTGAAAAAGGGTTTTTTTCCTACAATACATTTTGATCATGTTTTTCCCCTTCACCAGTTCCTCCCAGATTCTCCCCACTCCATACCTAATAACCACTTATATATTCTTTCACTCTCTCTTTAAAACAAACAAAACAAGAAACACAAACATACACAGAGAACAACATAAACAAGCAACAGATTAATAAGATAAAAAAATGCCCAAACAAAGCAAAAAGTCTAAAAGAATACCATTGAGTTTATTTTGTGTTAGCTAGCTACTCCTAGGCACAGGGTCTGCCCTTCAGTGTGACTGCATTGGAGGAAACTCATTTATTTTTTAACATACTAGGAGAGCTTCCTTTTTTGCTTGCTTTGTCACAGACAGCATGGCAAACCCAAGTAAGCTGTTAGCATGGTAGAACCACATTCTTATTAGTGAAAGGAAAACAATTCTGCTGGTTTTGCAACCACAGTCTTTACCACCAAACTTTGGCTGTGCTCAGAGTAAAAGGTAAGGATCTCAATCTCCCTATCCTAGTCATCTTGGTCAAGTAATGCTCTACTAGTGTTGAAGGTAATGCTCATCTAGGGAAGAAGGAAAGAACTGTGTAAGAGCACAGAAGTCAGCTTTGTGAGATGGACTTCAGTGGGACGTAGGGATGCCTCACCATAAGCGACTCTGACTTGAGATTCTCCATTTCTAAAGCAGTGTCCAGCCTCTCCCTATGGGCTCCTCTTACTTCTGTTAAACACATAGCTATTTGTATATTTTCTGTGACTCAAATTGATTTTTCTAAACAACAGCTTACAACAAAAAGTAGAAAAATGCCTTGAAGATGGAATTCGCCTCCCCATGTTAGATGCAAAACAGCTTCAAAGTGAAAATGATCATCTCAGAGAGCAGAATGCGACTGCTAGTAAGGTCAGTGGACAGTTGCGCACAAACACCAACTCTGCCCTGTGGAGTGTGTGTGAGCAGCTTAGGGTTTTCTGTGTGATTTATAATTTTAGTGATATTTAGTTTGCTTTGATTTGTAAAGAAGATAGCAATTTATTAAATTATATATTATTTAAACTTAAAAAACAAAACAAAAAGAGATATTTTTTCCTAAATTATTCCGAGTCTGTCTCAAGGTTATTTTTATAAATAAGGAAAGTGTCATTAAGAACTACAAGAAACTGTTTGCAGTTTTACTTATGGGTGGTCCAAGTCATCTTGCCATTTAAAGGATATTTAACTATTAGTGCTTCTGTAAAATAAAGGCATTTACAAATAAACCTTTAATTCTCTTTGAATTTTCTTGAAGTATTGATGCTTTTTTAAAGTAATGGAAAAGTTTCAGACTAATTTATTTGCTGTGTTTTAGATAATAGAGAGCCAGCAGGATGAAATTAACAGAATGATTTTAGAAATTCAGGTAAGCAATTTTTTTTTACAAATTTTAATGTATCTGTATGCTGATTTACTCACATTGACTATGATACCTAAAAGTATTAAAGTATATATCTATATATGTGAAAAAAATATATGTATTTTTTAGTATTAATGGTACATTACTTAATATTAATCTGAGCAAAATTCACAGTGCACCTTATGCAATTGTGAATGAACAAAATTTACTAATAAGAGAAAATTCTACTTGGTAAACCAGTTCTCCAAAGAGGTGGTCAGATTGTTCTCCCTTTGCTGCTCTTTCTCTTTAATTGTGTGTAGTCTGTCTCCAATTGTGTGTTCTCTGTCTCCAGAGAACACACTTGATTAAGGTTGTCAGAGATCTAATCATAAGAGTCTACTCGTCATTTAACTTTTCTATACCAGTTCCATATGGAAACATTCACAACCCAACTCTATGCATTTTGTTCTTTTACTACATCAGATTTTCCACAGAATTCCGTAGTGTTGTCCACAGTAACCTACTCATACTACCTTTACCGAGATCTCAGAAATCACTCTGTCTGTGTTCCTGTTTTGTTTTTTGATTTTGCTTCCCCTTACTGCCATTTGTAGTGCCTATAGTGCTAGTTAGGTGATGCTCACCAATAACAGAAATAATATAGTATCTATTAATTGTGGAGTACTTCCATTATGTATTAGTTAAACATACATTATTTGTTATTCTAGTTATTAATTTATTAGTTATTAATTCTAAGTATGATGTCCTACATTCTGTTTTTATAGTTTCTCCCTACCTACGTATCCTGTGCATGCATCCATGCTTGCATGCGTACACATTGTACTCAGTAAGCATAAGTGCTTGGAGTTTTCTTAAAGTGCCGTGCCCTCTCAAGAATGCCCATTTATCAGATGCCTTCTCAGCTGTGAAGATTGTGCAGAGCATTAGTTAATACTGTGTGGGAACTTACTCCTCAGCCTTTGGGTAGAATTGACAGTGCTGCTTTTAGTTTCTCTCTTCCTTCTAATAACACTGTTACTTTTTATGTATCACCAAATGATAACATGTCATGTGCTTATGTCTACATTTTACCAAGTTTCTTGAGGATGGTACTCTGGTACCTCAGCTGGGGAGTCAGAACTTACCAAAACTGTGGACACATAATGCACACTTTAAAAGTCTGGAAGCTAACAGGTCTTTAATTCTTTTAGTCATGTAGGCTTTGAGTTTTCAACAAATTTACTTTATTTAGGGTTCTTAAATGCTTCTACCTCCCCTCCAACCCACTAACCACTGGTAGGGGAGAAGAAAGTTATTAGGAATAGTGGGTTGTAGACCTTTTTAGAAGGTCTTAGGGTGAGTCCACTCTTCATTGTCCAGTACCAGCAGTCCAGTCCAAATGCCAACAACAAACAGCAACACAAATCAGCATGATTCAGCAGGTTGGAACAAGTCATTGAAAGCCAAAGTCTCAGTTGGATTGCCCCGAGAAGTTCTCTGGAATGTTTTTCTTTGGAAAGTCAAGTGTCAAAGAAGAACGAAGACCAGTGAAGAAATGTTGATCCAGAAAGCATTGTCTCACTGTTCGTTGTATTCTATATATTTTTTCTCTCCTAAAAGTCCACCCACGGATGTTTTCATCTGGCCAGAGGTCACCCCCCTAACACAGGACAGCTCATAGCAAAACATCATGTGCCCTCTCACAAGACAGCTTCCAGCAAAACATCACATGACACTACTGAGTCTTCAAAGAAACCAGAAACTTCCACTTCAACTCATTTGCCAGATACTTATGGAGCCCGTGTCTCTATGATGAATACAGTTCTTGAATTTCATTAGTGAGCAAAACAAGTCTCAAGTCAGTCTGATGGGGTGTGGTGGAAAAAATGGAAAATAAACATTAAGTTCTATTGTTTTTTTCTATTAGAAAAGTACTAATTAAAAACTTAAGTAGGATAGAGAGCAGTGACAAAGAGGGTTTAATGTGAAAGAATGTCCGTGAAATTTTTGTGAAGGAGGTAATATTTGAGGGGAGATTTCAATGCAGATAACGAGAGGGAAATGTGTGTGTATGTGCACATGCGTGTGTTGTGTGTATATGTGAATTTTTTTTTCAAATAACTCCTTTTAAGTTTGGTTTACAGAGTATGTAATGTCTGTTGTCTAAAACACATATGGCTTTCCTTCATTGGAGTTATTTGTGTGTTTTTTGATTCTTACATTGAAACAGTAATGCACTTAAAACCACTTTTCATCTTCAGAATTGCTCATAATAAATGCCAGTTAATTATGAACTTAGCAAACTCTTTAATGTAAGAAATATTTTTGATATTTAAACCCAATTTATAATTTCGTTAATCCTTAACATAGCTGATTAAGCACAAATAGATTGGTATTCTACGTTTTATGACAGCTAAATATTTATTTCAAAAAATATGACTCATTCATTTATACATAGTAGACAGCCACTATTTGGAGCAAACATTTTTAAAATCATAAGATTTAAAAAAGCTTTAAAAATTCTTTGTGAAATAACATACATTGTTTATTCTATGTTTGTTTATTTTTTTTACATTATTCATTCTTGATAGAACAAATTAGCTGAAATGTCTATCATTTCCTAGGTTGACTGTGTAGAAAAATAACTTAGTATTATGAATTTGTACATGAAAACAAATATATGTGCATTTGCATTCATAACACTAGTGCATATTTCAAAAGCTTCTGTGAATGGTAGGTACAATGCCAGAACCATTTTTTTTTTAAATAAAAACTTTGCCAGAACTAACCCTTTTCTGTTTAGTTGGGCAGATAGAAAGGAAATAAATAAACATGCTATTACATACGACCTGAATGTGCTTGACAATCAAATTGTGTTCTTTAACCTATTGACACCATAACCTTAACTAACTTGTCTTTAATCATTATTTACGGGTTGTAATAAAGCAGTTGCTGTTTAAGGGGGCGTGCTGTTGTCAGGCAGCTTTAGCGCTGTAGCTAGAATTCTTCTAGGAAGTAGACAAGTGTATCTGTGAACCTACTCCCAGTCTGGGAGGGGCTTCCTGATACCCACCAGGATGACATGTGAGGCTAACGTTATTTCTCAAATTCAGTTTTCCTTCTGTGACACTACTGCCATGTACTTCCAAGTTCTCCAGATAGAGAAGGTTGCCTATTTTGTCACTGCCTTAATTTCTGTCTTATGTGGAAACGCATTAGTTAGTAGCTAATTGTCATTCATAGTCAGCATGGCTCTGAGTTGATCAAAGTGCAAAACACTACTAGACTTTTAAGGAATTACAGTACAGAACTATGAAAAATCCTCTTTGGGCTCAGTTTTTGTTGTTAAAATATGGAGGGTTTAAAGTTTTCTCTATAATTCTAATAAAGCCACATATCAGGAAATTTCAGTGGAATTCTGAGTTATAGATGAATAATCTTGTCAGGCCAGAAAGCATAAATCTCCAAGTAGGAAATAAATCTCCATATATCATTCAGCCAAATGAAGTTACAAAACAATTGCAGTGTCAAAGATATTTTCAGATAGTTTTCCTTTGGTATTGTATTGTCAAATGCATTTTGAGGAAATGTAAAACAAGTTCCAGTAAGAACATATACTTATTAAAAGTTTTGATTCATTTTTATCTAACTTTTAAGTCATTAGTCTTTCAGAGTTTTATCAGATGACATTTAAACACAGTAAGCTAAATGTCTGCCCTGTACAAAATGACTTCATATGTGGTTCTAGCTCTGTGGTGCTCGGGTCACGTGCAGAGGTAATAGGGTGGTGCACATTCATAACGGATGTGTGCTTTTGGGGTAGTCCGTTTGCTGAAGCATTCTAACTTAAGAATATATACAGACTTGTAGAAAAAAAGGCTCTCTCTTCCCTGGTCATAAGTTTATTGACTTCATGGTCTGACCACAGAGGAGAAAGTTGATAGAAACACCTAGGAACCCTATTAACTATTGAGTTTATGGCAGCATCTTCCGGTAGTGTGTAAAAAATCAGGAGTCAGCTGTCACATTCAGGATTTCTCTCTCTCTGTGTCTGTCTCTTTTTTAGCGGTAAGAGCTTATCTACATGGTACATAATTTTATAATGGAGTAAGGAGATTAATTTTCAGAGTTTGCTCTATCCTAAGTTCAGGGTCATGTTCACTGCTCAGGACAGTATAAACAGAAAAGGGAGCTTAGCTACTAACAACTAATAAAAGCTTAGCTACTAATGATTAAACAAACAAAAAAAGGAACTGTCTTATTCTGTTTTACACTTACTAACCTTATGAAAAAAGTATTGCTTTGTTGCCTACACACTCACAATGTATGAAACACCAATTAATAAAATAATTATTTATAGTATAGTACTAGAGAGAAACCTCAATTTGACATGTTTCACACACATTAAAAACTTGCTTCCCTATTCCTTGGATCTAATGTGAATTGTTTTAAAGGTGACAACTTCAGCATTAGGTGAAAAGATCTTAAACATTGAGAGAGTATGTTAGACTGAAATGTGCCTTTGTTAATACTTGATTTACAGCTTTGTCACTGTTGTCATTTTAGTCTATGAAAGGGAAACTTTCTAAAGAGAAACTGACTACACAGACTGTGGTGGAAGAGCTAGAAAGGAAAGAAGGAAGCCTCCAGAAGTTGACAGAAGCATTGCTAGAAGTGAGTAACAGCCCGAAGGGTGATTCTCCATCTTTTTAAACTTAATGCTTATTTTGTGTATTAGATAAAAAACATGGTCAAATTGGAGGCTTGATTTTGATGTGCTGATTAACTAAATTCATTAGGCTTCATAAAAAAATAATGAAAGACAACCTTTATTTTTTATCTTATATTTCTCCCCCTCATACATTAGAATCCAATTTTTGTGATTTAACTAGGTAAAATCAAATGTTACACATTCACTGAGTCCCAAAGTGAGCAAATAAGGTATAGACTGGACAGAGACAAGGTCCTCTGAAAGTTCTTGGAGACTGCAGTGCTGCTATAGATCAGGCTTTCTCCTGAGCATGTGCTGAAGTACTTGACCCATGTCTAAGGACATGTTATATACGGTTTCTTGTGTTAGCCAAAGTGCACAAATGATTGCCCTAAAGTAGAGGATGTTCTCTTACATAACACAATATGATTTTCATGCTCAATAAAAATAATGATTCCTTATTATTTGATAATCTGTATTCACATTTCCCCATTTCACCAAGTATTTTTCCAGTGGCTGTGGAAGACATTACCCTAACTTCAAGAGCTGGAAATTGCATTTCATGTGTTACTATCTTTTGAAGAAACTAGAAGCAAATTCATCTCATAGATTTATATATTGTCACACCTTTTAGATTTGTCTAGTTGCTTTCTTAATGGTACCTTTTGTTCTTTACCTTCTTGTGTTTCTACTAAGATAGCTATTAAAGCTAAAGGGTGCATGAAATTCATGTTAGTTGTTTTTGCTATGAACACTTTGTACTGCTGATGTATTATATAGTAATTGATTATCCTGCTCTTAGTGGCAAATGGAAATACTAATATTTCTATGTTAAATGGTGATAGTCTGGCTTTTTATTATAAAGGTACAGCCACTACAAACTGTGGGTCTAGGTGAATATGTACTTTGCCAATATCTGTTTCCTTGGTGGGTTTAGCTTTTACCAAAGTTCATTTTTAATTTAAGTAGATTTTAAAATGTTAGTTTTTCGCATTTGCTCCATTCCCTTTACCTTTATTATCTAGCATTATATATAAAAGTGAACTTTTTCTTTTCACTCCAGCCTGGTTGGTCATTAAAAACTGTTCCAGTTGGAAATCCTGTCGAGCTTATTTTTCATTAGCAATTTTAAGGGTGAAGAGGGAAGAATCTTGGAGTTGAGGAAGGCATTTACTGAGTATAGTAAGCCATGAATTCATGATGATGCTTCTAGTTCCAGTCGATTGTGTGATGCTGCCATTTCTTTCCCTATCATTTGATATTTATATTTCTTTATGCATTAAATTGTAAAATTTAATTTCTATTAATATCATAGCATATGTTTTTTTTCAAGCTTAAGGAAATAGTTCCATTTTTCTTCAGTGGAATCTTTGGGTCTTTCAACCATATTTTTCCAGAAATAAATAGTTGACAAATATGAAACAAACTCAGGGGATTTTGTAGACTTTTGTCTCATTTTGGATTGTTTGAGATTTTTTGTCTTGTTCTTTTACTTGTATATCTTTTCTGTTTTATGGGAAGGCTGTTATTTTGTTTTGGGAGTGTATGTGTGTGGGGAGTTGCTGGTTTGGTTTTTCCTTTGTTTTTTAAAAAGAAAGAAAGAGGGGGGGTATTGAGTTGTGTAGAAGAATGGGGGAGGGAAGGAGCTAGAAGTAGTTCAAAAGGGCAAAAGTGATTAGATTATGTAATCTTTTCTACCCACCATTTGCCCTGTGTATCTCAGAAGCAGAAAGACACACATGGTATATACTCACTTATAAGTGGATATTAGACATAATATAGGATAAACATATTAAAATCTGCACATGTAAAGAAGATAAGCAAAGAGGAGGGCTCTGGGTAAGATGATCAATCCTCATTCAGAAAGGCAAACGGGATGGACATTGGAAGAGGGAGAAAACAGGGAACAGGACAGGAGCCTACCACAGAGGGCCTCTGAAAGACTCTACCCAGCAGGTTATCAAAGCAGATGGTGAGACTCATAGCCAAACTTTGGGCAGAGTGCAGGGAATCTTATGAAAGAAGGGGAAGATAGAAAGACCTGGAGAGGATAGGAACTCCTCAAGGAGAGCAACAGAACCAAAAACTCTGGTCACAGGGGTCTTTCTGAGACTGATACTCCAACTAAGGGCCATGCATAGAGACAACCTAGAACACCTGCTCAGATGTAGCCCATGGCAATTCAGTCTCCAAGTGGGTACCCTAGGAAGAGAAACAGGTACTGTCTCTGACCTGAACTCAGTGGCTGGTTCTTTGATCACCTCCCCCTGAGGGAAGAGCAGCCTTACCAGGCCCCAGAGGAAGACAATGCAGCCAGTCCTGATGACACCTGATAGGCTAGGGTCAGATGGAAGGGGAAGAGGATCTCTCCTATCAGTGGACTGGGGGAGGGGCATGGGAGGAGAAGAGGGAGGGAGAGTGGGATTGGGAGGGGACAAGGGAGGGGCTACATCTGGGATACAAAGTTGAATGAATTGTAATTAATAAATAAAAAGGATATATTATATGGATAACGTTTTTTTTTATAAAAAGAGAAGTAGTTCCAGTATAATTAAGTCACATCTGTTAGTGAACAACATCACAGAATGAGATTAAGGTGTCCTTGTTCTTTTTATTCCCAGTGGCTTATACTGTGGGAAATGCATATATAGGCAGTCTGCTTCTGAGTTAAGGCACTGGAGAACCTGAGGCTGCTGGGTGTGGATCACTCCCTTTGTTTACTGTGGCCATCTGATGGCATAGGAGAGTCAACCTGTAAATACAGATGAATGTGGTTGTTTTTTGTTTGTTTTTTCCTACTGAATGTGTGTAGTTGAATTTGGTTAAAGCAAATATACTATGATGTTTGATAATAGACTTGTTTGTAGACTTCAGGAAAAATGTTAACCTGTATGACTTTTTAATATATTTTCTTTGTTCTAACAACTGCCTTTTGTTTTCTTTATCCACTACAGAACCAAAGACAAACAGGGGAGACAAACTCTTTACTGGACCAGGGCCAGGAAGCAGAGAAGTCTAGGCTGCAGACCATTCATTCTAAGTGGCCTCTGTTTGATTTGACTGTGATTGATCAGCTTTTCAAGGAAATGTCCTATTGTTTGTTTGACTTGAAAGCGTTGTGCAGTATTCTTAACCAACGAGCTCAGGGCAAGGAGCCTAATCTCTCATTATTACTGGGAATCAGATGTAAGTGGCTGTTGACTTGTCTCTACTCTGACTGCCTTTTCCATGTTTGTATTGTTCTCTTTTTTCCTTTGGCTTTGTAAATCTCAATTCAGTTGGCAGTTTCAGGTTTACCTCTCACTGGTTTATTATCTGAACTATGGAAACCAGCAAGGGCATAGCTGCAGAATGCCTAGAGATGGCTCCTGAGTCTGTGAAATCAATAGTTAGTAATGATTTCCTCTTTACACTCCTTTCTGATGCTTTTCAATGGCATCTGGGCAGATGGGCCATGTGTGTGTCAGCTGCTAGAATATATGTAAGAGAACATATGTAAGTATTTTGTAAGCCTTGTATGCCCTGTGGCTGAGTGTGGGTGCCAGTCTTTCCATGTGAGCAGGATTCAAACCCACATATGTGCTGTCACTTTGACATGCTTGGCTTCTCTCCTTCCTTTGTGGCATCCTCTGTACTCTGTCTCAGTTCTTTGCCTCTACCTGAAATTACGTGAGAGCTACCCAGTAATAAAATAATATGAGCTTTCTTTTGGGGGATTCTTTTGTAGGAATGTCCATCTCTTTGTGTGGTTCTCAGGAATATAATATTGTATTGTAGCGTCTTTAATAGATAAGTAAAAAGGTTAAAAACTGGGAAAGGCTACATTAAAAAAATTCTATTGAATGCTTTCCTTGATATGTTTGTATGTAACAAGAGAATACTTTCATTTTCTTCAAAAATAGTCTACATATTTCTACTGCATAATTGGTATTTTGGTTTAAAACAAATGGTCTTAAAGAACATCATTTGTTAAATGAAACATATATTTGTATTAAGTAGGGTCAGCAGAATTTTACCTTAACTTCATAGCTTTGTTCACATGTTTAAGTGTAGGCATGTAAAATCTCTGATCACTATTAGTAAATGACAGCCATCTTAAGTGGTGTGGTTACTAAGGTAGGTGCTGTCAGCACAGGTAATTAAACAACTCCTCATTAACCAAATTATTAGATCTTTGCCATAAGTACTGTAATTGAGATGTGATCAAAGAACAGTGGTAACATAATGAATAAAAATGAGTGAGACTACATGGGTAGGGGCTACAAAGGGTTCATGGAGTAGCTGGCATCTGACGTGGATCTTAGAGAAGATTTGCCAGGTGAATACTGACACTTTGATTTGAATGGATCTCCTGGAGTAAGAAGAAGATGTGCACATATAAAAGACTTCAGTGATTTAGAAATTTTTCCCTTCAAGTATAATATGCATTCAGCACAGCGTGTATTAACCTTTACATTAATATAGTAGGGCTACACTAATATGAATACAGTGGAGGCTCAAGACTGTTCCTACCTTCCCCACCACCCAGTGCATGCTCTGTTCAAGCTTTCAGGTTCAGACTCTGAATCCTTACCTTACATTTGACATTCTGAAATGCCAAGAACCAATGAATTCTTTTGAATTGCTATCTCATAACTCCTCCAGTAATCTATTGGCAGACCTACCCTACCCCACTTTTCTTAAAATGCTTTGCCTTCTTGGTTTCCATGACATCATTCTCCACATTCTACTTTCACTTTTATGACTGCTCATCTTCAATATTCTTTGGACTTTCTGCAATATTCTTATTGGGGTTAAACTGGTCATGGTGGCACACACCTTTGATCCCAGCACATAGGCAGCGGGGTGAGAAGCAGGAGAATTTCTGTGAGTTCAAGGCCACCTAGTCAACATAGTGAATTACAGGACAGCCAGAGCTACATAATGATAGCCTGTCTCAAAATAATATTCGACACATAAGAACTGGTGAGTCAGTGGATGTTTTCTTCCTCTCTTTAGTGCCTATTCTCTCTGAACCCTTTGTTTTTTCACATCTTTTTCTGTTATTATCATTACTTTCCTGCCATATACTATTTATCTCTCTGCCTAGAGGGATCTTTGGTCTTTTGATGATAGTCACATTCCCCCTGCCCCGTACACCCCCCCCACACACATGCATGCACACACACCGTAACACCTACCTATTTCCTAGGCATTACAGACTCAGCATAACTGAAGTAGACCCCTTGACCCAGTTAACCCTGCTCTTCACTGTAAGGAAGAAGCACCACTCTACTCTGCATTTTTCTCTGTGATCGTTCCCGGTTGCTGACCCTCACTTTAGCTGATGACAGTTGAGCTCTACCAGACCTACTATTTATTCCTACCGTTATACCAGGCATAGTTCAGGCTTCAGTAGCCCTGCACTGGACTAGTTTTTCTGTTACCGTCGTATTTATCCTCCTATCTCAACTCACTTTTCATATTGCTGCCAGGGCTTTGTCTAAATCACAAATTATTTTTCCTAATATATTTCCTGTGATAGAGAGAATAGAACCTATCTGTCTTTGTAGCTTATTTCATATGACTACTCTTGCATGTAATTTGTGTTCTACTGTTTAATGGCTGGATACTAGTCTTGAAGTTTCTCAAATTCCATCAGACTACTTTGTTTCCTGCTTTTAGGGACCAGGAATAAATAAGATCCAACCATTTCTCCATTTAGGTCCATGTGTCTTTTTATCTGTACCTCTGTATCTTATGGGTAGTGTTGAGTCATCCAAAATACCTTGTGCTCGGTTGTTTGTGGAATTGATTGAAGTACATTGAATGTGATCATTGACTTTTTCATCCAGCATCACACCTTGATCATGGCAAATGTTCATGAATATTTAAAAAACAGTTATTTGGCTCCTGTGCCAGAATAGTGAAGGTAGAAATACTTTATTTCAGATTTTGTTGCTTTTTTGTTAGGACATGCTTACAAAGAGAAACTAGCATAGATTAAAAGCCAACTGACTAGAGCCTCACCCCTGTTACTCAAACACTGAGCCTCTCCATAAACTTGATTTAATTGTTTGAGATTGTAGGGTCCTAGTACTCTGGCTATATATTTTGAAACTAATGTCTGTATCCCAGAAATAACCCTTTTGTAATGATAAAACTTAAGACATTTCCTCTCTTCATGCAAATTTTCAGATTTTGCCAATGGAAAAGAATTAAGTATTCTAGTGCAGCTCGTAAAGAGATATAAGAGCACTTTTTTTTTTTTTTACTTTTGTAACATTGCCATCCAATAAGGATGCTGAATTTGTATATGCTATATGAACTTAATATATTTTAACTAGCAAGGTTTTTGTAATATCAAATAATCTAGAATTCGAACCCAAGCCTTGCCTGGTGTTCATTGTACAACATCATGTTGCCATGATGAAGTTGAGAATCTTACCATGTCTATTAAAAAATGTGAGACATTTCTCTCCATGCTTTCTTTACACAGCAATGAACTGTGCAGCTGAGGAGACTGAAAATGACCACAGCCCAGAAACGCTCACTAAAAAGCTCTCAGATGTGTGCCAGTTACGGAGGGACATTGATGAATTAAGGACTACAATATCAGACCGCTATGCTCAGGACATGGGAGACAACTGCGTTACCCAGTGACCAAGTGTTGGTCCACAGCAACAATGACCCTTGTGAAAAGCTGCTGTGTTGGACTCCTTTGTTTCTCTTTAGGACAGACAAGGGAAAGGTGAAGCTTTCTGCCGTTCACTTCAGCTGTGTTGTTGTTACGTTTGCTTTCCTGAGGAAGTTTTGAGGGGACTGATGAGATCACGCAAACAAATCACGTTACTATTTGAAAAATGAGATAAAGCCTGCAAGAAAAAGAACAAAATAACCTGTATCTTCAAACTACTGATTGTAGGACCAAGCTGTGAACAGTGCCCTTCAGATAAAGATGTAGGATTTCCTTTGCTCCTGTAACTTTGTCTATATACATGTGAGTGCTCATTCATTCTCTCGCTTGCTCACTCTGTCTCGTGTGTAAATGCCCGTGCACGTGCATTTGCATATGCATGGACTTAATCCACAAAATAGTAGGATTTCAAGGGTCAAAGCAAAGCTTTGAAAGGCACACTCTTAATTCTACATTTTATATAGAACCATGTGTTACATTTTGAAATTTTTATTGGCAGGCTGACTAGATCCAGTACCAGTGGGCTGTTCTCATGTACAAGGGCAGCAAGATAAATCATTTGTGTTTTCAAAAGTGACTGTATTGAGGTGTGTGGAGTAAAGTTGGCCGGATAATTGCGCTGAAAACAGACCAGCTATTTTTTCCAGAGTGCTTCTAGATTGTCTCAGCAGTGTGAAACTTTAATGTGGTGATCTTTTCATTGGCATTGTAATTTTTATATATATAAGAAAAAGTAATTGCGGTTAATTTCAGCATACTCAGTACTATTTGCAATTTTTATTTATGATATATATGCAAGCCAAGCCATATATAATTAATAGAAGTCCTCTGAGGCCTCCATTGACTGTTATAAAAAGACAGATGGCAAAGTAGCTCTGCACACTTGCTTTTTTTCCACATTTCAGCATTTATGTTTGAGCAGCGTTGTGCCTGATTTAATCTACTTTAAGAGAGCATCTTATTCATATGTGAATTAATAATAGCATAAAACAAAACATAAGTTTCAATGATATTTTAATTTCTTTTATTGTATTTGTTACGTTACAGTTTGTCATGGAGTATGAAATTGCTTAGGTTAGTTCATCTGGAGCACAGGGTACTATTATGAAGCGCAACTCATTTGAGCAGATGTACACAATCACCTAAACTTCAAATAAGTATTGTCTGCATATCATTTTTTTTTTTGCCAAGATTATATTGCAGTTAGAATTCATTACATTTTTTTTCAATACAGGTAAAGTGTCACCCTGTATAAATTGATTTGACTTTCTTTTCTTTTCTTTTTTCTTCTTTCTTTCTTTTCTTACTCTCTCTCTCTCCTTCTCTCTCCTTCCCTCCCTCCCTCCCTCCCTCCCTCTCTCCCTCCTTCCTTTCTTCCTTGTTTTCATAACACAACTCAGTTTCCTTGAGGCAGGACTAAGAGCTGGGAGAATAGAGATGTGGAACCTGCAGTATAGTACTGCCGACTGAGAGTAGACATGTACCAGTGTTCTTGCTAAACTTACTCTGGTTTAAAGCTTTCTCCTAGAAAATATTTTTTCTCAATCTCAGCAGTGAAAACTTAGTGGGACAGACCTTTGAGGAGAGTGCTCAGGAAGACTCTCAGTTAAGAATGGACATGTATTCTGCCATCCATAGACATTTGAATAGCTTGTTATACTGCATCCTAATGACAGATTTCCCTTCTACCCCACTCCTCTTGGGATATGGCTACTAAAAAGTCAGTGTGTCAGGGTGATTATGCTCCCAGCTCCCTAACCCAGAGAGGAATTAGCCACTCAAGAATTTGGTTCTTTAAAAATGTGTTTATTGGGTTTTTAGAATAGTGCTTTGATGACAATCAAGAAATTGTTTATTACAAAAATATATGCCTTGCATAATGTAATGTCTACGTAGACGGTCCCAAGCTGTCAAGTCAGATAATGGCATCTACATGGCTCAACCACAGTGCAGCCAGCAGCACATTTACCTTCTCTTTGGATAGACCATCCTCTGGTGATTTCAGAAATAGACACCTAAACCTATAGCAGTAATCAACAGCCATTGCTGATTTGTGTTAGCAGCTTCTTATATCTCCAAAGTCCTAGTGTTTTAGTTTATATTTGGAAGTTTTATAATTACTATTTTAAAAGAAATTTATGGTTATATATTTTAATATGCATATATGTGTATATATATATATATACATATAGAGACATATACACACCTTTTTTTTCTGACCACTTGCAATAAATTAAACAATTTTTGTTTTGACTGGTTTTCTATAGCTTAAAGAATTTAATTCACATATCTTAGAGTAAAATGCTTAACCAAGAAATTATTAAAGTGCTATTGATACATTTCAGTTTCTAAATTGTATACCACCATTTTAAAAGGCATCCCAATGTTATAGTCTTGATATAATGTGTTACAAATACTAATCTTTTATTAGCATCTAAAATTAATGAAGGGCTTTGATAAGTAGTCACCTTTGGAGGGGATTTTGTGGAAATGGAGCTGGTTGTATTCTAGTTAGCATTTTATTTTTCAGAAACATCTTCCTAAGACATACCATTGCTGGAACAGTATTAATATATCACATTGAAAATGAGATTTACCATTAGGTCAAAGAAGATGGCAATAGCAATTCTACATTGTTTTATTCCCATTTTTCGAAGGCTACACGTGGAAATTACTATAATGACATGCCTAAACTAAAAAGGAACTTAAATTCTAAAATAAATCTATCTGTAGGTTTCCATATTATTGAACTTTGGTTTCAGTTATGCTTTTGTGTATCAAGTCTTTTCTCCTAGGAAGTGTTAAACATGGTATTTTTGTTTTTAGTCTGTTCAAGCTGAAGCCATTCTAACACAGCCACATACAACACAGGTAGTCTAATAGTTACCACAGGGAAGCCATAGTTACTTACCTGTGCAGGTAAAATGAGCTGAATCAAGGCCACATAATGCCTTGTCCTTGCATTTGATAGCAGAAAAATAGACTTAAACTTAGTAAATTTTCATTGCCCTCTGATTTTAAAATTGTAAATCTTGACTAGGTAAATATACAAGAGAATTTTATTTTTAAAAGCATGGTCCCTTTTAATATTTAGAATAAGACTCCTCACTGTTTGATGTTAACAATATTATACCATAGTGATGATTGTGGAGTTGTAATTTTGAGAAACTGACTTTAACTTTCAGTAGCTTGTTAGAAAAATCCAAGAGCTAGAAAATGTTGCTAAAATGAATATCGGACAGTTAGGACTTGGAAGCTTGTGACAAGTACTGTTTTTGTGTCAGACGTGGTAGGAATCTCTGAAAAGATATTTGTAAAGGGACTGTTTCATTGGAGAATGTTCTTTAAATATCAGTGGTAATTCACTGAGCAACAGGAGCTAAGCATGTGGGCTCTTTTGCACAGTACTGTTGAACTCAAGCTGAAGTTCTCCATCTGTCACTACGTAAGTAATTACAGTGATAGGATGTTCTCTGAATGACCATGCATAGCAGATGACACTCGGAACCATCGATAGCTCTTTCCCCTCCCACTTTTTCCATTTCTGACAGTGTTCACAAACTAAAAGAAATTGTCTCTTATTTGCTATAGAGAGTAAAAATTTCAACTTTGTCCCCAAAAAACATTGATGCTGATTGCTGTACGAATGTATCATTTAATCATGAAAGGGAATGATTTGAGAGTTCGTATTTAAAGGAAATATTGAATATAATAGAATGTACTTCGAAATCAATAAGTCATCAGCAGCACTGTTGCGGCTGCACACAGAGAACCTTTTGTGCCTTTTTGCCTGCAGTATTTATTTCTCTTACATGAACTATAAGAATGTTGATTATTGCACCTTGTTCTTTGGTGAATAGACTTAAGAATTTTTCTAAAAAGAGCCATTTCTTGGTTAGATGATAGCTACCTTAATAAACATGAGAGGATGTATCATATTTATATGTGTTTGAAGCTCAGCCTTTTCTATATAGAAAGCAGGAAATTCCTTTAAAATGTATTCATTTGTGTGTATGTGTGTATTTATATATATATATTATATATGTAGTTATTTAAGTACTTAAGCGTGAAATTGAGCATCATGTTGGCATGGTGACCAGAAGTAGTAAGGTGCTAGATGGTCACATTAAAAGCACAGCAGAGTGTGCAATCAGTCACTGACTGACTGGTGGGTATGTAAACTAGGTTCAGTTTTTGAACCACCAGAATACCTCATGTGTAAATACAGTGTTCATGACTTAACTGAAAAACAGTTATTGTAAAAAAAAAAAATGTGAAGCCACTGGCTGGCTTATGCCTTCTGACATTTTGTTTTTACCTCCTTTTTTTGAAAGGAGTTGTTTTTTGTTTTTGTTTTTTAAATAGGGTTTACAGCTAGAAATTTGAATGCCAAAGTTCTATTTATTAAACTAAGAAAAGAGTTTTCATTGTTAATGGCTAGTATTTTTCCACTGGACTATTGTTTGTTGATGTTGAAATTTGTATTTACAGAGAAATAAATTTTTTAGAAAAATAACTCTCTTCTTGGTGTCTAATGTTGGTATAAGAATGTATTTCATGTTCCAGGCTCACTGTCCCAAATTCTCAATGACAAGAATATGTTGACTTGACTTTTAAGTAAAAGCTCTCCATAAATAGAGGAATCTTTGACCAGAACACAAAACTTCCACTCTTTGAGCGTCTTATTTCATTAACTAACAAGCTTTTCCTCAATGCCTTTATGGAAAGGTGGAGAGATTTCCTATGGACAGGTGTCATAAAAGCAAAGTCAAGTTTATACTCTTCAGCTGCTAATGCTGTCCTCCTCCAGGGACTGTGTATACCTTAGCTACTAGTGCTGTGCTCCCTTAACCTCAGCTGCTAGTCTGTGCTTCATTGGGGACTAGGTGAGTTACTGTTTCTTTTTTTAAATATTTATGTATTTATTTATTACAATTTATTCACTTTGTATCCAGGCTGTAGCACCCTCCCTCATCTGCTCCCAGTTCTACCCTCCCTACCTCTTCTCCCCAATGCCCCTTCCCCTGCAGGGGAAGGTGATCAAAGAGCCTGCCCCTGAGTTCATGCCAGAGACAGCTCCTGTACCCCTAACTAGGAAACCCACGTGGAGACTGAGCTGCCATGGGCTATGTCTGAGCAGGGGGTTGGGTCCTCTCCATGCATGGTCCTTGGTTGGAGCATCAATCTCTGCAGGTCACCTTGTGGAGCTTCTGTCCCCTCCAGGTCTTTTTATCTCCTGCTTCTTCCATAAGATTCCCTGCACTCTGCCCAAAGTTTGGCTATAAGTTTCAGCATCTGCTTCATTACCCTGCTAGGTAGAATCTTTCAGAGGCCCTCTGTGATGGGTTCCTGTCTTGTTCCCTTGTCTTCTCCCACTTCCGATGACTATCCTGTTTGCCCTTCTGAGGAATGAGGATTAAGCATCTTCCCTAGGGTCTTCCTTGTTGTTTAGCTTCTTTAGGGCTATAGATTTTAGTATGTTGAAATACTGTTTCTTAAAACCAAATTAATCCTAGAATTAAAATTTCTTCTGCAGAATGAAAGGATCACTTTTGATTTTTTTAATTTATTAAAGCATATTCTAGTGATGTTGATAAAAATTGGAGCTTTTTCTTTTTTATATATTTTATTTTTTATGTATTACAATTTATTCACTTTGTGTCCCAGCTGTAGCCCCTTCCCTCATCTCCTCCCAGTCCCGCCTTCCCTCCCTCTTTCCCTATGCCCCTGTCCTAGTCTACTGATAGGGGAGGTAGTACTCGCCTTCTATCTGACCCTAGCCTATCAGGTCCCATCAGGACTGGCTGCATTGTCTTCCTCTGTGGCCTGGTAAGGCTGCACCCCCACCCTACTCACCCCAGGGATAGGTGATCATAGAGCCAGCCACTAAGTTCATGTCAGAGACAGCCCCCAATCCCCTTACTAGGAAACCCACTTGAAGACTGAGCTGTCATGGGCTACACCTGAGCAGGGGTTCTAGGTTGTCTCTATCATGGTTCTTAGTTGGAGGTTCAGTCTGTGCAAAGACCCCTAGACCCAGATTTCTTGGCTCTGTTGGTCTCCTTGTAGAGCGCCTGTCCCCTCCAGGTCTGTCTTTCTTCCCCTTCTTTCATAAGATTCCCTGCATTCTGCCCAAAGTTTGGCTATGAGTCTCACCATCTGTTTTGATAACCTGCTAGGTAGAGTCTTTCAGAGGCCCTCTGTGATAGGCTCCTGTCCTGTTCCC